AAATGAGAATGAAAAATGTAACCGTTAAGAGATACAAATTCAAAATTAATGGCTTGATGTGATGGATAACAATCATATTTTTCATTTTTATGGAAGAAAAATGAGAAACAAACGGAGGCTAAGCCCTGTTTGCCACATTATTTTTTTCATTCTCGTTCTTCTACTCATTTTCAACCACATATTTTTCAATAAAATAATATTTTTCATCACATCATTAACTTTTCCTTCTTTTTCAACCACATATTTCCCATCACATCAACCAAAAAATGGATTATTGGAGCAAAAATATGCACCAAACAGGGGGCTAAAGTTGAAAATAAGTACGTCCTTTAAAAGGACATTGCATTTGGGTCCTAATCTTTCCAAAAAGTGCAAATGATTCTAGAATCTGTCATTTTTAGCAGTGAAATCCTTGACCATTAAAGGGAAAATTGCATTTGGGGCACTGAACTTTTCAAAAGTGAAAATGAGCACTGAACCTTTCATTTTTGGCAGTTCAGCCCACGGATTATTCTACATATACATTAGGGTGTACGTGTACACCCTAATGTACATGTAGCATAACCATCAACCCATACCTTTGGTTAAATAAGAAGCTGAAAGACTTTTGAAAAATTTTCGTTTAAAAGTCTGTTAGTTGTATCCCATTAAAAATAAGTGAAATACTTAAAAAAAGAACAATTCAAAAATAAAGTTGTATGCTTTTTTGGATCTAAAGTTTGCTCGGTCTTCTAAATTTCACGATTATTGATAAATTTGGATTGTTTCTATAACACTTTACTAGTTTAACCCTTGTTTGGTTTGTATTAAAATTCAATTAAAATTTCTAAGTTAAGTCAACAATTAATTATAATCACATATTTTATATGACTAATAATTTTTTAATCACACGTTTTATTAATTTTTTAATCAAAATTTATAGAAAATCTGATTTTAATCTTCATCAAACAAGAATTTAGTTTGTACAAGAGCTAAAGTTAAGGAAAGTACACGATATGAAGCGTGAGTTTTGTTTATCGGTCTTTCAAGTCAAATGCAATGCTATACAATTGTATCCAAGACATCATAAGTCATATTTTTTTTTTCTTTAAGTTGATCCTTATGGTTGTCTGCAGTGAAATAATCTAAATGTATTTAGCGTCACAGACATGTTCCTAAATTTGGGAGAATACATGTGAAAGTTCATAAACAATAGTAAAATTACTCATAAAAATTTGATTGAAGAACTTACATGTACTTTTTTTTTTTACTTCTTGGTGACATACTTTGATACAAAGTAAAGTTTCGAATATAGGAGCTGGCTTATCTCCAAATTATCGTTAAAAATACCTCAAAAATTCCATGAAAAAGGCTGAAATCCGAAAAGAGACCATAGGCTTTGTATTTTGTTTATTGTACCCAAAATAGAGAAAATAAGAGTTACAATCGTGGCCAATTATTAAAGGAACATACGTAGTAAAAATAAGCTTATTTCTTGTAGGCCAAGCATTAATCTTAAGTTGAGTAACCATTAATGCAAATCCATTCGCCAATAAAGATAATATTGTCACAATCAAGATTGGGATTTATAGACATGAAGAAGTTTGAAGTCAGGTTGTACGTCTGCTCCATGCCGTAGCACGTATAGCCGTGTTTTGCTGCGTAGATATTATCACAAACCAAAATCGATTCATCGGGGATGCCATCTGAGAACAAAACAACAAACATAAATTGCAGTATAACTTCACATAACCTCGACCATGCAATAGATTAAGAAGGCATCGAAAACACGACCTTTAATAAATGAAAATAGTAAGAATTCGAAAGAAATACAAAATTAACCAACTTACTACGAAGAACCATTCTACTTTCAGCCATGGAGATCATAAGATGAAGAAATATTACAAATGCGGTAATAAAAAATAGAGTTCGATTCTTGCTTGCCATACGGTATGATTCAATGTTACTATGACTTAGTATTTAAAACTATAGATAGACTCTTTGATTCTAAATTTGTTGCATTTATAGGAAGAGAATTACAAAGGGACATACACTTACTGACAGGTAAACGATGTCTCCTGAGATCACTATTCACTACCCATTGATGTTAATTATCAATAATTCCTTGTTAAGTAATATTCAATATTCTTTTTACAATATTCTACGGAAAATACATCTATAAATCGACGCACAAACATTTGTTTTGCCTTTAATTTTGAATATAAAAACCAAAACGTGCATTAATGTTCATATTTTAAAAGTTTATACGAGGTTATGTAACAATGTGATTAAGACATTCTGAGCAATACATCTATAAAATTTATTTAGTAAGGATAATGAAATTAAACTCCTTCAAACTCGAAACAAAATGTATATGGAAGAAGATAAGATAGTCCTCACGGTCAATCTAATACTTAAATTAGTAAATATTATGATCGTATTGGAGGATGTGGATCATTGATTTATAAAATCACTCAAGGTCTCAAAGCATTTCCATCTTCCACTTCCCCGTTGACCCTTTCGATTTTGTCTTAAGGGTTTCATTCTTTGCTTATTTTGAAAGATTTTGAACATTTTGATGCGCGTTATTAAGCAATTCGAAGCTCCTGATCCTCCTTCCAACGTGAGTGAAAATTTTGGGCACCGGCAAAAGGGACAAAAAAGTCAATTAGTATTTTAGTTAGGGTAATTATATTACCACTACAAAATTTAATTACTACACCACATTATAATCACACTACAGTTAAAATATATTTTTTTTATTAAATACACCACAACAAATTTACGATTCCCAATCCAATAAAAACAAAAAATGAAAACAATAAATACACTATTGTGGTCTACTTATCATCCCAATATTACTCATTTTCTCATTAAAAAAAAAAAAGAATATTTGTAAAAATTTAGAAGATTTCTCGTGTATAGCATGTGCAATGATATTTATGTCATTAGCCATAATTCAGTTAAAAGTTTTTAGAGCTGCTGAGCTGTCATCTGTGCAGCTGGATATTCTTATGTACAGATATATAATGCTACCTTGATTCCTTAGTATTGTGAGAAATTCATTTCCATTCGTGTGTTTTCTCTTCCAACTTACAGAGATATTTTCTCTTTGTTTTGGTATAAAATCCACATGATATCAGAGCATTGACCAAGCTTCCGGTCATGGCGACAAGTTCAGAAACCAGAATTGAAGGCACTATTGATAATCCTTTGCCAAATACTCATCTCAATGAAGATCCGATTATCGCTGTGCATCAAATGATAACACATCCTTCAAATCCTTACTACTTGCATTATGGAGACAACACAGGTATACAGATTGTTTCGGTTATACTTTTTGATGAGAATTATTCGACTTGGAGTCGTACTGTAGAAATGATATTGAGTGTGAAGAATAAGGAAGGTTTCATTGATGGTTCTATACCTATACCTTCCATAGATTCACCTCTGTATCCTGCTTGGCGTAGATGCAATCATATCGTTTCTTTGTGGATAATAAATTCAATCCCTAAGGAATTATATCCTAGTGTTATGCATAAGGATTCAACACGTCAGATCTGGTTGGAGCTAAGAGATAGATATAGCCAAGGCAATGAACCTAGAATTTATCAGTTAAAGAAGTTGATTGTTTCAATCTCACAAGGGAACGGTTCTGTGAGTGCATATTTTAATAGGCTGAAAGGCTTATGGGAAGAATTATCCAACTATAGGCCTCAGAGTCACAATTCTTATTATGAAGAAGAACAGATCCTGCAATTCTTGATGGGATTAGATGACAGCTATTCTAATGTGCGTAGCCAAATTCTGATGATGGAGCCTCTGCCTTCATTGAACAAGGTGTTTGCACTAGTTCAACAGGATGAAAGGCAAAATGATGTAGCATCCAAAAACCAGAATAATGTTGAAGCTGCTGCATTTGAAAGTAGACTAATGGCTGGTTCAATGAATTCTGGTGTTAATCAGAGGCCAATGAGTTATGGTGTTAATCAAAGGACTATGTATAACAATCAAAATTTCAAGAAGTACAGACCTAAGTGCAGTTACTGTGGTATGCTTGGTTATCTACAAGGGAAGTGTTACAAGCTTCATGGATATCCCCCAAGACATAGATTGGTAAGGGATAAAGGCAAAGAAATCATCTCTAGTGCTAATTAAGTTACTACCTCTCCAAATTTGTCCAATGTGTTTTCTGGTTTAACCATCATACCAGAACAATGTCAGCAAGTTCTCAATATACTGAAACCATAGCTTCAAACTCAGTTATCAAATCTGGCCTTTCACTCTGGTAATACTGTTAAACTCAGTTTTTGTTTTTATAAAATGACACCATATTTTTATATTTAATTATACGAGTAAGACGATTCAAATTGACCTCGAATAAAATTTAAATTAAATTGACGTCTAAAATTGAAAACTTAATTAGATTGTTAAATCCAATTTTAACAGTCCTTTTGCTTATTATTCCGAACTTGCCTAATATAACCATATTTGACTGTTTTTTTTACGGGCTTTGATCAGGTGCTTGGAAAACTGGTCCATTACGACCAACCAAACCTTTCTAAAGGCTGCAGCAAAATGATGATTCAACCAAACGACGAAGAGGAACCCTTGAAAGGGACCAAACTGAGGATCAAGTTCACAATTTTAATTCCCAACAATGTTGAGTGCTGAGCAGATATCTCAAAACAACAAAGTACTTGCTCCATGAATAAGAATATTATGTAAAATTGCTCCCCTCCATTTACTTTATTGACCTCCATAAGGACTTCTCGTCTTGGAATGGCAATGTATTTCACCTTATGTGCCCGAATATGTTAACGAGACTTGGTGGATACGAGTTTATTCCAAGTTTGGAATTTTTGAATATTGCTAGTAACTCCAGTAAACTGTCTCCTTTTCCATTTAAAATTGATCTCCGCTGGAACCACGCAGTTTACTGAAAAATTTGATATGTTTGAAGCATTAAACTATCTCCTTTTCCATTTAAAATCCTTTGGACTAACAACGTCCGAAAGGTATTAATCTTCCATCTCTTTGGAAAATTTCAAAGCCAACTCCATCTTCCCTGTCCTTTTTAAACTGAAAATCAGAGCTTGGTAGATGTGAGTTGACAGATGGATCCTCTTACGTTTCATCTCTTCAAATATTCTCAACGCTTCCTCAATTTTTCCTGACCTGCCTAAGCTCTCAATCAAAGCTTTGTAAGTCAGCAAATCCGGTTGAACTCCTCTCTCACTCATTTCTTTGAAATATACTAAGCACAAATCAAATCTACCTACCTTCCACGAGCTAGTTAATAAGGTGTTGTATGTTACAATATCTGGAATAAGATTAGCCTTTTCCATAGCAGCAAATTCGTGTAGAATTTCATCTGCTTTTCCGGGCTGACCAAGAATCCCAAAAATGGTATTATATGTAACCAAGTGTGGTTTACATTCCATACTTTTCATATGATCGAATACGAAAAGTGCTTTGTCAACATGTCCGCATTTATCAATGGCAAAGATAAGTCTGTTCAGAACTATTTCATTTCGAGGGAACACCATTTCTGAGACTTCTCTGATAAATTTCAGTAATATGACAGGATGGTTGGGCTTCACAAACATTCCAGCAAGGATAAGATATGAAGTTAATCTTATAGAGTCACAAGACACCAAAAAGACCTTGAAAATTTGAAAGACCATGTCAATATCATTTTTTTCACCTGTAGCCTCCAGAAGGCGCTCATGCATACAAGGGCTAAATAATATGTGCTTATTACATAAGGAATGCATTTGCCTAGAAGTGGTTAGAAGATCACCAGAAGCACAGAGCTTGTTAACGTAAGTGATGCAGATTTCTCCTCTAGAAACTAAAGAGTCCTTGATAGCAGCATAGATTTCATTCAAAATTTCATCACTGCTTTCTTGAGGAAGAGATGCTTGTGTTGTTATTGATTGTGGATTGCCAACTGAATTACTAAAAATAGCAAAGAATGGCCAAATCCAAAAGCTTCTGACTGGAATGGATTTATCAAAACTCTGTTTTAGAAATATTGCCATAATGAGATCAAAATGACACGTTCATATACTTTGTAAGAAATAAGCTAAACTTACTTCCAAAAGAAGTTCAATTGAGTCAAAAATCACCAAAAGATTAATAAATTACAAAGAATATTTGACTAACTCTACAAATAATATTTAATTCCATGATTTCTGAAAATTGAAAAAGATAAACCATCTGTTCATTATGACAGTTTCTGTATCAGCAGTAATACAAATTACAGTTTCTGTATCAGTAGTAATACATATTACAGTTGTATCAGCACTTTCTTTACACATAAGCTGTTGTTTCTAGCCTTGTAGTTGGTGAAGATGGTCTACAGGTGGACAAAGAGAAGACAAAGCAATCTGAGATTGGCCAACACCAAAACCACTTTCTGAAGTAAGGAGTTTCTATGGTTTGGCAATGTTCTATAGGTGATTTATCAGGGATTTTAGCATTATTGTGGCCCCACTCACAAAATGTTTGCAGAAGGAGAGATTCAATTGGGAAAGGAGCAAGATAAAAGCTTCGCCTTCATTGAGGAAAACTTGTGCAAAACTCCGGTATTGACTTTGCCAAAATCCAGAGGATATTTGAGGTGGAGTGTGATGCTAGTGGTGTGGGTGTCGGGGTTTTCATTTCCCAAGAGAAGAGACCCGTGGCCTTTTTTTTTTTTTTTAGAAAAGTTGAGCGATGCGAGGCAGAAATAGAGTACCTATGAGCAAGAATTCTATGCAGTTGTGAAAGTGTTGAAGCAATGGGAACACTACCTTGTACAGAATGAGTTTGTGTTGTATACTGATCACCAAGCCCTTAAGTTTATTCATAGTCAAAAACATATCAGTAAGATGTACACTCGATGGGTGACTTTCCTCCATAAATTTCTTTTTGTGATTAGACATAAATCAGGAAGTTCAAATAGAGTTGCTGATGCCCTTAGTTGGAGAGCATCTTTGTTGGTCGCACTGTCACAAGACATTGTTGGATTTGAATGCTTGAAGGAAATGTATGTAGATGATTATAATTATAAGGAGATTTAGAGCAAGTGTGTGAATCGTGAATGAGTGATTGATTTCTATATTAGCTATGGGTATTTGTTCAAGGGCAACCAGCTTTGCATTCCCGTTTCATCTTTACATGAAAACTAATTCGAGATCTGCATCAAGGAGGTCTAAGTGGACACTTAGGCGTAACAAACAATAACCACTTTGGAATCCATATATTATTGGCCACAGCTGAAGAAAGATATTGGAGTTATAGTCAAAAAATGTTACGCTTGTCAGGTGTTGAATGGTCAAGTGCTGAAATGTGATTGTTGTACACGCCACTTTCTGTTCCGCAAGGCACAGGGCAAGATCTTGTTATGGATTTCGTCCTAGGATTGCCTTGTACTCAACAAAGTATAGATTCCGTTTTTGTGGTAGTTGACAGTTTCTCCAAGATGACTCATTTTATATCTCATATGCATCAAGTATTACCAAACTATTTTTCAGGTAGATTGTTAGATTACATGGAGTTCCCAAGTCTATCACATTAGAGTGGGATATAAAAATTTGGGGGCACTTTTTGGATTATCCCGTGGAAGTTGTTTAGGACAAATTTGAATCGAAGCAGCATTGCCCATCCCCAGACTGATAAACAGACCGAGGCTACTAACCGTACCCTTGGAAATATGTTTCGCACTGCCTTAGGTGAAGTTTGCATACAACAATGCAGTTTATACTGCTACAGGAAGGTCCTCGTTTGCTATTGTGTATAAAAAGGTTCCCTTATCATTTAGTGGATTTGGTAAAGTTGCCAAAGGGTAATAGTAAGAGTGTTGCTGCTGAACATTTGCCAGAAAAGGTGCTAGCAATCTATTATGAAGTAAAACGGAAGTTGGAGAAGACTAGTACTTCACATGCTTGTGGTGGTGGTTCTGCAGCAGATGGGAGTGGGCTTTTTGATCATTTTTATGGAAGGTACGATTGATGTACCTCTTTTCTTTTTGTTTGTAGAAGATAGAGCCTTCAATGGTCTGAATAAATATTTCTGTAACATTTTTTATTTTGTTTCGAACTCTAAAATTAAGGAATTGAATGGATATATTTTCAATTTCTATGTATGTTAGTTTGTACATTATAATTATAATTTTTGCATTTTTTTTATTTCTGGGTTTAAACTGTAATAAATTAAGTTCTCAAGAAAATAATTATTAAAATAAAATCATTTTTAAAGATTTTAATTCATAATAGCGACGGCAATTCGTTGGTAATCATCAACGGACATAATTTACATCAAATAAATAGTGTCGCTATTTCGTATTTTCTGTGGCAAATAAATAGTGTTGCAATTTTGTTAAGACGGTGAATGATCGAAAGTTGTCACAAAATACATTTGGTGACTTAACATTCGCAACAAACATATTTCTTGCAAAAACTTTATTGGAATATTCATTGCGACAAACTGACTTGTCATCCTTTAAATTTCCCGTGACACATTCATTCCGACGACATTATGGCTACAGATATTTTGTCGCCATTTCATATTTTCAGCGTCAAACAAATAGTGTCGTGATTTTGTTACTACGATGAATGATTGAAAGTTGTCGCATAACATATTCCGTGACTCATATAGTGCGATAATGCTCGCAACAAACGTATTGTCTTCATTAAATTACTTTTGCAACAAAATCTCAATTTTTGCGACTACAGTTTTTAGTCGTGAAATCACAGTTTTGTTCTAGTGGTTTATTTAGTTTTGTGGATTTCAAAAATTGTGTTCTTAAGGTTTTTGCTTAAATTCTTTGTTTCACACTGCATCACCAGCACATGTCAAGTTGATGCTAGACTAATGAGGGAAGAAAGATTTTTCATTGATTCTTTGTACCTTGATTTTCCTTGCACAAATCCTTTTCATTTATTACACAAAACAAATTTGAATAAAAAATTCCAATATATAGTTGTCTGAACTAAAATGCCCAATCTTCTCCAAATATTTTATGTTATTTGGCATGTCTTAGTAGGGATATTAAATGGGCTGAGTTGAACCGTTGGGCTAGACTAGCCTATTGTTGGTCTTGACTCATCATGTGAGTTGGCTTGCTTCGAGGAAGTTGAGCTCGACTTGTCCCACGAGATTGTCCTTGGTGGATGAACCGAGCTAGTTCTTGAATTGCTCGCAACTCGGTAAGTTTTTTTTTTTTGGTAAAAAATTGTCAAAAACGAAAACGAGTCAACTTGTGCGAGTTGGTAAGTAGCTTGGATGAGTTTTTGCTCCCTTCGGCAGCTCGCCAACGAAAGGTTCACCGGTGATCAATTAGCATTGTCAAGGTGCAAAAATTTAAAAATAGATTACAATGATCAATTATTCCATAGAAACGTGTGAAATCATTTTAATTTCATTAATATTGACCCTAAGACCTTGACAAATAACACACGTGGTTCAGAAAGTCTACTAAGGAGAAAATTCTTAGTCAAAAAATGGTGTGAACCTAGCACTTTAGTGCTCCTCATGACGTAACATTTACTATCAATTATTTTTCCCAAATACTATTTGTACATTCTTGTTTATCACTTGGTTTACATAATGTGGCAAGATTTTACAGGTTGATCTGACTCTTTTTACAGGTGTAAAATATTACCACTTGTACATTTTGTAAATCAAGTGGTAAACAAGAATGTGCAAGTAACATTTCTCATTATATTTTAACCATTTCACTTTGAAATTAGCTTATTCATTTGTAAATTGCAAGTAAATTTTTATTGATCGTTAACTCTGTTCTGGCAATTAATTAAGTCTGTTTAAGAACAATTTTACGGAATTTAACACGTTTACTTTGTGCATTATATCTGATTGACTGAGTCTATTCCAATTGAAGTCTTAAGTGATGGCTTGACGACAACGATTTATGAGGAAGAGACGAAGCTACACAATAAATTACTAATAATTTCATTTTTTTGCTTATATTCTGAAAGTGACTTATGAGTTTACTAATTTCCGGTAGTTACAAAGTATAGCTATGCCTTTTACACCAGGTCATGTTTAATAATGGGAGCTAAACATAAATTGATATATATTGCACAAAAATATTATGAGATTTTCATATAAATAATAATTCATTTTTTGACAACTCAAGAGACGCCTTCATTTTCGTAAATTAAATCATTAATTAATTTTTAGGCCGGCTTGTTGGAAAATGGAAAAAACAGCCACAACTATATTTAGGTACAAAAACTCAATGGTTAATTTCTACGTAGATATTGTTGAAATGATTTAGTGTAGAGTGTCTGTAAGAGAAAAGGGCGATGGTTATCATAAATACAAGTGTTTAAAGAAATAAGTTTTCGTTTTCAGTTTTTACTATGAAAATATGAATATTAGTGATCAAAATTAGTACTCTTAAATGTAGAGATATGTAGTATCTTACAATGGAATATGTCCAAATATTGTATCAGCATGCTTTGAATTAACGAGCACGTACTTTGTCGTAAGAATAATCTAATGAGCACCAATGCTCGTCTTAGTTTAAGCATCGATAACGTGTCATATACATCTATTGATACATAAACTTATGGTGGACCTCAACATTTGAATTAAGTTTAAAATCCACTAATTGATGTATATGACACGTTTTCAGTACTTAACATAAGATAAGTACTGATGTTCATTAGACCACTCGTCTACTTTGTCCCACTTTCTATTTATTTTATTTTTTGCTTGAACCTATGAGGGTAAATTAGGCCCTCTTAAGCCCCCTAAAAACTTTTCGGACGAAAACTATCATCCCAACAAAATTGTGCGAGTAAATGGAATGTTGAGGCCAATAATATAACCAAAAAAAGGTTGGGACTATAAGTACAACAATGAACAAGGATTGAAGACTCATAGTGCATGCACTAAAAAAGTGACAACAATAGAGATATATGGCGTCAATATAATCCTTCAAATGATCTTGTTTGGTAGGGATTGAAATTTATATTTTTATCAAAGTCAAAGTTCCCAATTAATTTTAATCATATATTTTATCGACTTTTATCAAAATCTACTAAAAATCTAATTTTAATCACCACCAAACGGCACTAATATCAAATCTTCCCTTTCATGTTTTTTTTTTCCCTTATATTCAGTGTACTTGATGATTATGATAAATAATTTAAGAAGACTGATATTTGTTATTTTGAAAAAACTCAAATTTTCTGTTGTTTAAATTCTCTTTTCATAGATTTACCAGCTCTCAATATTATGAATTATAATTTAAAGATTTCGTATTTAACAATGATAAGATGAAAATAATAAAAACCATACAAAGTCTTGCAGCGTATTAACAAGTCTTTAAAATAAGAATTTTGTACTAGACTTTGACTGTAAATATTTTCAACCAAAATTAAATATTCGCCCAAGTTTTGGTTGGAGTTGAAGAATATCTTTTAACCAGTTGTATTACGTCGTAAGTATGACTGAAGATGGCTCCTCGTTCCTACTATTTCTATTTTCTTCAATAATTAAATCCTTTTCAGGAACGCGTTCTAATATTTTGACAACATTTTATATACCAAATATCTGTTTCCTAGGTTATTTCGTACGTTGACTCATGCTTCTGCTCTTATGCCGTATATATAAAAACAAGGAGTGAACTTGTAAAGAAAGAAAGAAAGTAAAGAGCTGGAGAAAGACAAAACTACAAATAAGTGAAAATGGTGAGGCCCTGCTTCTTTGATAATAATGGAATGAAGAAAATTTAACTTCTAAAAATAAGTAAAAATTAAAAATATATATTATTGTCTCAGCTCTCAATATTATGAATTATAATTTAAAGATTTCGTATTTAACAATGATAAGATGAAAATAATATAAAGTCTTGCAGTGTATTTACAAGTCTTTAAAAAAGGAATTTTGTACTAGACTTTGACTGTAAATAGTTTTGCTTGGTGAATAATATATTTTAGCCAGTTGTATTACGTCGTAAGTATGACTGAAGACGGCTCCTCGTTCCTACTATTTCTATTTTCTTCAATAATTAAATCCTTTTCAGGAACGCGTTCTAATATTTTGACAACATTTCATATACCAATATCTGTTTCCTAGGTTATTTCGTACGTTGACACATGCAAATAAATTCTTTGGAAACTGCATCTGCTCTTATGCCGTATATATAAAAACAAGGAGTGAACTTGTAAAGAAAGAAAGAAAGTAAAGAGCTGGAGAAAGACATAACTACAAATAAGTGAAAATGGTGAGGCCCTGTTTCTTTGATAATAATGGAATGAAGAAAGGTGCTTGGACTAAAGAAGAAGATGATAAGTTGAGGAAAAGTGCTGGAGAAAGACAAAACTACAAATAAGTGAAATTGGTGAGGCCCTGCTTCTTTGATAATAATTGAATGAAGAAAGGTGCTTGGAGTAATGTAGAAGATGATAAGTTGAGGGCTTATGTTCTGAGATATGGCCACTGGAATTGGCGAATGTTGCCCAAATATGCTGGTATATTATGATACTTCTTCCTTTTTATTCTGTTCTCCTTAATTCCTGATAATATTATAGAAGAAACAATGAAGAATTGAATTACTTCCTTGAAATTCAATTCTTCCAATTTGGAAAAGGGAACCCTAATTTCCTTCCACTTATTTCTTTAACCTCATTACTACTTTTCAGTTTTAAACAGCAAATTCTGCTGTTTAATTCATTTAATTCTATATATATCTATCCATTTATCTATGTGATTATAGAGAAGATTTGCTATTCTATGTAATTGAGAGAGAGAGAGAGCTGAAAGTGGAATTTAACACTTGTCAATCTAAGTGCAGGTTTAGCAAGATGTGGGAAGAGTTGCAGATTACGATGGGTGAATTACTTGAAACCCGGTCTTAAACGGGGGAACTTCACTAAAGAGGAAGAGAATTTTATCATGGAATTACATAACCAACTGGGGAACAAGTGAGATCTACTTATCACTCCAACTAACAAATTGATTACATAAAATCAAGCATTCTCACAAGTTGTTGGATCTGACTAAGCTGACAATTTAAACATAAATCTATATGCTTCTTGTGATAGTCATAAATTTGTTGCTAATTTAACAAGTTTCGTAGGCACAAGGGCGAATTGCTCTATTCTAATTCCCTAACTATAAAATGCAGGTGGTCTGCCATTGCTGCAAATTTGCCCGGAAGAACTGACAATGAAATCAAAAACTACTGGCATACTCATAAGAAGAGATGCAATAAACGAAAGGAAGCTGCAACCCAAGTGGAAGTAGCACAGACTATTGAAAACCCGCCTTCTGAAATCGAAACCCTAAAGGAATCGGAAAATCTAATGCTATCTCCCAATACTGCCAATTGGATAGCACGTGACACCACGTCCTTGGATTTAATTTCAGTTTCCCAAGATAACTCCTGGCCTGAAACATTTCTACCTATTACATGTACCAGCCAAGGAAATATGTTACCAGCTGTGCCCGACCCTTTTGAACTATCCAGTGAACTGAATTTTAGTGAATTATCATGCCCAGATTTTTCTATGCTGAGTGATCTTCACTGGGTTGGAGATGATAGTGTCAACTCTTCAGATTATGGATTCCTGGGAAATTTCTGGAACGAACCCAATGAAACTAATTATTTGTTACCAGTAGAGGAGGCCAACCCTTTTTCTCCCTATATTTCGTACTTCGATGATTTCATGGTCAATGTATCCTAGAAAGGAACATGAAGAATATATGCGGAAGAATCATAGAAAACGTCGTTTATGTAAACCAGAGGTATGGCCGTATGAGATAGTAGATTTTCCTCCGGTTTGATATGCAATAGTATAATAAATGTGTTGATCATAACGTTGAGCAATTCGCTTTTATGCTTAATGCATTGATGTTTTGCCTTCTGCAATCATTCATATTTTGTTAAAGAGAATTTCTCTAGCAATGGAGCATATATTATATACAAGCTTATTGAAAAGAATTCTTAGAAGCCACTCACAGAGGAATTCGTTAATGCTGGAAATGAATGGTCGCTCTTGTGGGATTGATATAGGTTGGAGGGAAGGCTACATTTGACTTCAAATTTGAACCTCCATATATTTTTAACAAGTCAATCTAGTGATGAAGGTGCGTAGGATTATTAAGCTAAGCGTGACCACTTGAAGGCACTTGGCTAGATTTTCTGAGAATGAAATGTGTGTCAATAATAGATGTAAGCTAATGACTCGACTATTACCATAGCTGTCTTTGATATGTTATTAATTTCAAGGCACACAAATGACTATTAATCTAATATGTGTCAAAAGTAATGTTTTCATGCATACTCAAATGAGCAATGTGGATTCAACATTCTTTGATAAAAAATGAATTCGATCTACACGTTGATGGGCAAGTTCAATACTAATTTAATAAATAACTATAGCTCGTTTCTAATTAAAAGCTTAAACTTTAAATTGAAGAGAAGGATTCTAAGTTCAAGTTTCATCGCAATCAATACAAAAAAATGAAAAAATAAATAAAATGAAAAAAATTGTGCAACTGTCAATCTGAGCATTTGATAAAAAAAAAAGTGAATCACACCTGTGCATGAATGTGCACCGTGCACGTTGAAGGTTAAATCGAAATAACAAAATATGTTCCATATCTCTGTAAAGGTTTTAAATTTTTATGCAAATTCAATCGTTCAAAATCTTTGTTATTGGCAATCTTAAAGATAGGCATTTCATTAATTGTGGTGGATGAAACTCCTGTGAAAGTTTTTACCAAAAGTACACATTCTCCATCAATTTATTATTTCAAAATGCATTCTACAGAAAAAAATGGGGCTCAAACAAGCTCTTAGTTTAATTAATTATTAGAATGTTATGTGAATTTACATATAATGGGTGAGCAAAATATCGATAATCGGTAAAAAAATTGGACAAAAACAAAAGATCCTATGACATAATTAAAGTATTCATGATATAGTGGAAGATTAGAGACAAATATCATATCAACAAATCTGTTAATTTAGATACACAATTTTTATAAATTTTTTAATCAAAAAATCGATCTTGTTACGCCTCTTGCCTATGAGGCTCAAGTGAAAACCCACACGGCCGAAGTCAAAACTTGATCGAAGCCCATGGAGGCCCATAAAAGAGGCCCAAAATAAAATCAATGAGAAGAAGCCCAACAACCGAAGTGCCTCTTTACAGATGAGTTCCTAAGCCATATGACCTTATTCCGAAGCGGCCACTGTGGACGAAGCCCCACTCTTCGAAGCCCCTTCCCCAAAGCATCACCAACTACAAGGAGCTTTAGATCAAAGGCAGCTTAACTTGAATCCACATAGTGATTCACAAATATTACATTTCTCTTTCTAAAAATTGTGATCCTTGTATATATTGACTAAAAGACCAAGTTAGAACATTCTTTGGCTTGCGACCTACCTAGCCATCACTTCAATCATCGGTTCGGTCTTGGCTTACTTGGACATGAGTGGGACCCGTCATATGTTTGTCTCATTTTCAAGGGTCAATAGATTGACACGGTCTGTGGGAAGCTACACATTCAACGGATAGAAAAATATACTTTGGGTGATTTTTTCTACATTTGAAGAAAATAAGTTGTTCTTGAAGAAGAACACCTGAAAACCGGGAAACCATTTGGAAAAAAGTATTGTTGTTCCTTGAAAAAAGAACATCATTTGTTGAGAAAAGATCCTTAAGAAAGTTGTCTTCGAAGAAAGGGCGTCAGTATGACCTCGACAATGAAAAGTCAATAACTCGGAGGGCTAAGAAACACCCTGAAAAAGGGAAACCCCCACGCACAACTCCTGTAGCCATCAGTCTCACAACTAACGTCAACGAGATGGGTCAAGAGGTAGACCTAGGCGACCACCAGGCTGAACAGGGAAGTGGCTACCATGGCTGTAAATATGAGAGATCACCCAACATAATATTGTTATGCAAGAACTGCTTAGGAACATGCAGGGCCAAGGAGGATACCCGATTTCCCCATATACGGCCTAAGGAGATTTTTTCCCCACGTGCCTCCCTTTGTTCCAAAAGTGAAGAGGAAGAAGTTCAAAGCCAAATGACTGACTACTAGCATTATGCCAAGGAACAGGCCTCCTAAGAGAGGGAAGTTGGAGTATAAATATGAGAGATCACCCAACATATGCAAGAACTGCTTAGGAACATGCAGGGCCAAGGAGGATACCCGATTTCCCCATATACGGCCTAAGGAGATTTTTTCCCCACGTGCCTCCCTTTGTTCCAGAAGTGAAGAGGAAGAAGTTCAAAGCCAAATGACTGACTACTAGCATTATGCTAAGGAACAGGCCCCCTAAGAGAGGGAAGTTGGAGTCGACACTTTCTCCAACTACGCTGTAGTCGACCAAACGAGGCTCCATTCAACTTTCTTCTCAACTATGAGCTGAAGAATGTGCCTAAAAGATCTAGAAGTGTTTTTGATAGGTTTAGCCTAGGAGGCCCAGAAATAGGCATTCCTAGCTGCCTCGGGAGTCTAGAAATAGGCAGTTCAACCTTTGCCTACACTTAGGAATATGCAACATTGACCCTCTCAATTCGAGAGACAAAATGAAAATACTTAAGGCAATGTGCCTTAGAACCCTCCATATAGGAGGAGGCGTCAGAGGAGAGGAGCAAAATCAAAAAGGTCAAGTAGCTCCGTCCCAACTACTTCCTAGGAACACTACCGAAGAGGATGAAGATTCTAATGGCCTTCAAAGGTCCGTGACTTGGACAATGATGATAAGACCTTCCATTTTCAGTACCGCTTTGACAAGCCTATATGCCAGACCACTTCACCCTTCCAAAGTTTCCCAAATATGGTGGGATAGGCAATCCGACCAAGTATCAGATGCTTACAAAGACCATATGGGTTTGAGAAAAGCCACAGAGCTGTGAAATGCAGAGCTTTTCACTTAACTCTAAGTGGGTCTGCCTTGTTTTAGTATAGAAGGCTGGAGGAGAGAAGCATCCAAAGTCGGCCCCAATTCAAGGAACCTTTCCTTAAGCGCTTTGAAATAAGCAAGAAAGGGGAAGGTTCCATCCAACGCATCAAGACTTGAGGTAATAGCCTGGGGAACCTTTGAAAAATTTCTTAGCACGCTTTACTGATAAGATGACCATTGTCTACCTTAAGAGAAGGCCTTGACACGAACTCTCTCTTTTGGCGAGATGTGCAAAATAAAGACCCCATGAGCTACGATACCTTGCTAGCGATTATGAAAAAGGAAATCAACAAGGATATAAGGGAACACCATAATAGAGCCAACATGGGGCTACCAATCTCTAGAAGGCATAGATGGACCAATGGAATCAGGCTAACTAAATCGTTGCACCCGATTTGGACCAAGCCTATGCAGCCGTGGCCTTAAACATAGTACTTGCCATAGCCTACAAAGATGTGAACCTCAATCACAATGATCAACTGGAAAGGCCCACATTTCAGACCCCTCGAAGAAAGATAGGAGTCAAACTTAGAAATAGGGACAAAATACCACCCAAGTACTGTTCTTACCACCACTATTACAGCCATAACATTGCTGATTGTAACGACATTGCAAGACACCCATAGTAAAATAAGAAGAACAATTAAAAACGTCCACTACAGAATTCGTGCCCCACCCCCCCTTCCCCCGCCTAAGAAAAGCACTTAGACGAAGCCTTCCAAATATTGAAGAGGTACATGATGAGATTGAACCCCTTAAATGTGCATTTGGTGTCGCCTTCGAAAAGCTCTTAGGCTACTTGGTCAATCAAAGGGACATAGAGGCTAATCCTGAAAAGATTAAGGCCCAAATTGAGATTAAGCCCCCTAGAAGCCTAAAGAAGTGCAAAGCACGCGTGGCGCATTGAGCCGCTTCATCTTAAAGGTAACTGATAAGTGTCTTCCCTTCTTTAAAGTTCTAAAGAGGGGGACAGAAGTTCTAATGGAGAGAGGAATGTGAAAAGGCCTTTCAAGGGTTGAAAAAACACTTTCGAAAAACCCCCTTCGTATCCAAACCTAAAGATGATGAGCCCCTGCAACTATAAATGGCGGTATCTACCGACGCTATCAATTCGGTACTTGTAAGAGAGGAGGGTGATCATCTTGCCCATTTATTATGAAAGCAAAGCATTTTTTGCAACAAAGACCCACTACCCATACATGGAAAAACTAACTCTTTCATTAGTGACTGCTTCTAAGAAGTCGATGCCGTACTTCCAAGCTCATACTATTCATGTTCAAACAAACTTCCCACTCAAGCAAGTACTCTAGAAACCTGATGCTTCTAGATGAATGATAAAGTAGGTTGTAGAGCTTAGTGAGTTTGACATTGTCTTTAAGACAAGAACTGCCATCAAGAGCCAAGCCTTAATAGATTTTGTGGTAGAATTCACCAACATTTTAGAAATGGAACCCGCTGAACCCCCACCTGGAGTCTATTTGTTGATGGTTATTCTGGGAAAACAGGCTACGGGATAGTGTGGTCTTAGTTAGCCAAGGACACGAGCTTAATTGTGCGGTGAGATTCAGGTTTAAGGCCACCAACAATGCAGCAGAATATGATGTCCTATTAGCTGGCCTCAATTTTTATAGGCTGTGATGATTGATATACAACCAATTACGCCAGTTCTGCTTCAGAAAATTCTTGATTGATAAGCTATTTAATCTCTCTGAGCTTCTTGAACAGTTTGTTACTCAAAATCCACTGACATTCATTTTTATTTTC